CTATTGTATTCATGAATACAATAGTAAAAATAGGCGTGAATCAGGGAAGTCCAGCTAATCAGTTGTTGTATTCGAGTGTATTCGACTGTATTCATGGAGTGAAACATGGGATTACAGCTGGGCAGATTATTGTATTCGACTGTATTCACGGCGTGAAATAGGGGATTACACTGTTTTTAAAATGGAAAGCGAATCAATTAACATAATAGACTCCTAATATAACTCAACAAACTCAATTATAACACACAAATTTTATATTTTCAGTTATAAAAAAGATTCTCAACTGAAAAATACCCCAAAAACATAGCAATCTTCAGAGAAATTATATAATACATCTGAATACAAAAATTATATTAATTAAAAAAACTTATGAATAAATTCATGGCATATAGCGAGATAGTGAATACGATAAAATACATAGAATACAACGGGATATATTGAAATACAACGGAAAAAAAAGACAGAGAATATAATAAAATACACGGAATACAGTATAAGAGTCACGTCGGGTACCCTAGAGAGAGAGGCTCTGGCGAATTTTGATACTAGAGAGAGAAAACACGAGTTGTCGCTGTCATGGCCAATTTGGCCGGCGGCCAGCCTCCTTCTCGGCTGGTCAGCCCCCTCCCATCATCGCACAGTCTCCCTCGAACTCTAACAACAATCCTCAGCCCTTAGATTATTCAAAAATTCTCAAACCATCAAATATGAACAGTGCCATGCAAGAACGAGCAACGTCTGTTGAGCCAATTCCATTGCGTCGAGCCAATGTGATTAATGGACAGCCTGTTGTGAAGTTTACTGAAGCAGAAGTTGAAAGAATGAATGTGATTGAAGGCTTGCAATATGCTGTTGCGTGCAAATTTTCATATGGATGGCCGGAGATCAATGAACTACGTCAAATAGTCCCAATTCAATGTGGGATTAGAGGTGAATGTTCTATAGGATATCTTCGTGATAGGCATGTGTTAATACGATTGACTCTTTGGCAAGACTTCGTGGATTTCTCATCAAAAGGAGTTTATTATGTCAAGGATAAGTTTGGCAATGAGTACCAGCTGAGAACATCGATATATGATCACAAGTTTAAGGTTGGAGAAGAAACACCAAAGGTAATGGCATGGATTTCATTCCCTAATTTGTTGCCCACTTATTTTGTCAAGGAGTGTTTATTCTCTTTAGCTTCAGCAGTTGGTAAACCAATACACCTCGATATGGCAACAGTGAATAAAACAAGACCTAGTTGTGCACGTGTGAAGGTGTTAGTTGATCTTCTAGCTGATCTTCCTAAGAAAGTTCGTATGGATATTGTGAATGAATCAACGGGGGAGGTTAGAGCTGAGTGGGTAAATATCAAGTATGATTATTTACCCAAGTATTGTAAGGAGTGTAAGTTACAAGGACATGATATGATGGAGTGTTGGAGGCTTCACCCAGAATTGATCGATGCTAAAGCTGCAGAACAACAAGTGGATAAGGAGATGAGAAATCATAGTGAGCAGGGTAATGACTCTGCAAATGTGAACCATCATGGACCTCTAATGATTTTATCTAGTAGAAAAATTGTAGGGAATATTAATGGCAAGGCCAAGGAACAATGGAAGGAGGTCAGGGACAATCGAGCAAAGAAGGCAACTCATCAGAATGAGGCATAAGCAACTAGTGGGAAGGAGATAGTTCCATTTAACCAAAGTGTAGGTCAGCAAGTACAAGTGGGGAACAAATATGATGTGTTGGGAAGTGAGAGAACTACAACAGATGATGGTGATGAGATGCAGATTCAGGTTCAAGCAAAGGAAAGCTCAGGTAGAAGCCAAAAGGCATTGGAAGATAATGGTGAGGTGCAAGAGGTAATGTAGCTGGACAAGATTTCTCCAAATAAAAGAGAAAATCAGGGCAAACAACACAGTCCTAATAAGAAGCATACTGGAAGTGGGAAGAAGCTAAATCCATCAGCTCCCAAGTTTATTCCTGCAGCAGATGGTCAGCAAGGATCTACAGAAGGGGTACGAACTAAGGAAACAACAGCTGATTGGGTGCAGAACTTTTGGAGGGAATGGTGTGGGTATTAATTCATCATGCCAAGAAATATCATCCCGGGACATTAAAGTAGAAGGACAATTTACAAAAAACAAAGACAATGAATTTATAGCAGATGAAGAGTTTGAAATATTTAAGAGTAGTGAGAGGGTGAAGTAGAAAGGAGGCAGGTTATGGTATCAGCAGACAGAGGAGGATACAGAGGAAGGACTCATCCCTGAAATAATGCAAAGTGAGGAAGAAACAGGTGGAGATGAAATGGAAGATGAAGAACAAAATGTAAATGGTGCAATCAAAGTAGCAAAAAATATCACCGTTGATCAGAGTTTAGTCAATGTAACAGTTGACCCCATAATAAAGGAGAATACCTTGGGGAATCAGCCAAACCATAAAGGAATTGAGACACAATTAGGAATAGATAAAGAGGTGGACAGTACTGCAATAGACCATGGAGGGACAGTACAAGAGCAAATAGCTGAAAGAACTAGCATTATCAAGACACAGGAGGGTACAGTTGCAGAGGTGCTGAATACAGCTGAAATCACTATTCCATTAACTCTTGTGCTGAAAAATCAAGGGGAGCAGGCCATGGTTACTGTTACAAACAAGACAAAAGTTATGGATATAGCAGAGGATAGAGAAGTAGGAAATCAGATTGAAGATGTAGATCCAACAGGTAGAGATATGGATGAGGAATCTACAACTCAGAATTTCACTAACATAGCCCGGCAGGGGGATATTTCTCCAAGGCATTTAGAGAAAGTAAAGTCTGCAGCTAGAGGAAAGAAGAAGCAAAGTAAGGAACAGTCCATTGTACCAATAGGTGGAGTACAAACAAGAAGAACCAAAAATCAGTAATGAATGCCTTAATATGGAATGTTCGATCAGTAAATACAATGCAAGCCTTTGAGAGGATTGTCACAATGCATAGACAACATCACTTTGAGTTTATTGGGATAATGGAACCAATGCAACAGGCTAGTAAGATGGAGAGATATAGAAGAAGAATTGGATTTGCGCAAGCTGTAGTGAATGTGTCAAACAAAATATGGGCTTTTATTGATGAAATCTTTGAGGTTACTATTTTGTATAACATGGTACAACAATTGACTTTAAGGCTCTTCCATACTGAAACACATGCAGACCTTATTCTTACACTGGTATATGCTAAATGTGATGCTATTGAAAGGATTGAATTGTGGGATTCATTGTATGCAATGGCTACGGATATGACTAATGCATGGCTTGTAGGTGGAGACTTTAATGTGATATGGGATGAGGAGGAAAAGTTTGGGTACCAGTTCATATAAATGAAGTAGATGATTTTAGACATTGTATGAATACGTGCTGCTTATCTGACCTTGGTTTTAAAGGTAGCATTTTTACCTGGTGGAATGGTAGGTCAGAGGAGGACTGCATTTTCAAAAGATTGGATCGATGTTTTGCAAATATGGAATTTCAGCAGGTGTTCCCAGGTCTGGAAGTTACTCATCTATCCAAAATAGGCTCAGATCATAGCCCTATGCTGCTCAAGTATGACATAGAAGCTGCTCCTATCAAAAAACCTTTCAGATTCCTCAATTTTTGGGTTAAGCATGACTCATTTAAGGAAGTTGTTAAGGATAATTGGAATACAGATTTTGAAGCCAATCCTTTTATTCTCTTTAATCACAAACTGAAGAAGCTGAAGAAAGTACTGTCCACATGGATTAAAGCAACGTTTGGGGACATATTTCAGAAGATTGCTAGCATGGAAGAAGTGGTTTTGGTGCATGAGAGGAAATTTGAAGCATTTCCTACACAGGCTAACAGAGAAAGATTGAAGAGAGTTCAAGCTGAGCTAATTAGATACCTTGCCCTGGAGGAGGGATTTTGGAAACAAAAAGCAGTCATGACATGGTTAAGGAGGGTGACAGGAACATAAAGATTTTTCACGCTCAAGTAAATGGTAGAAGAAAAAGACTCCAGCTCAAAAGAATACAAGACAGTAGTGGTAATTGGATTGAAGAGGAGGATCAGATAGCAGAAGCAACTGTCAGTTTTTTCAAGGATCAACTATGTGAGAGTGTGATTCCTACTAACTTTCACATTCTAGATCATATGCCTAGTTTGATAAATGGGGATCAAAATGCAAAATTGACAAGCCAGCCTACAAAGGAGGAAGTAAAAATGCAGTATTTGGTCTTAATGGTGAGAGTGCAGGAGGTCCGGATGGGTTCACAGGAGCTTTTTATCAATCATGTTGGGATATCATTGGAGATGACATTCATGCAATGGTACTGCAATTTTTCAGTGGGCAACAATTATCAAAATGTGTGACACATACAAACTTGGTGCTCTTGCCAAAGAAGAAGGAGGTTAGCACATTCTCAGACTTGAGGCCTATAAGCCTTAGTAACTTCATTAATAAGGTTTTTTCGAGAGTGATTCATGGAAGACTGGTAGGATTGCTTCCAAATCTGATTTCAGAGGAGCAAGCAGGGTTTGTAAAGGGGAGAAGCATTGTGGAAAATGTACTATTAACTCAGGAAATAATCACTGACATTAGGTTAAGAACAAAAGCTAGCCCTAATGTAGTGATTAAATTAGACATGACAAAAGCATACGATAGGCTCTCATGGTTATTTTTGACAAAGGTGCTAAGGAGAATGGGATTTTGTGAAAGATTCATAGGCTTGATCTTTGATATTGTTGGAAATAATTGGTACTCAGTTCTAATAAATGGTCAGCCTTATGCTTTTTTCAAGTCGTCAAGGGGAGTCAAGCAAGGTGATCCACTATCCCCTATGCTTTTCATTATTGCTGCAGAAGCACTGTCTAGAGGATTAAACTCTTTTCATTAGAACTTGTATTTTTGTGGTTATGGACTGCCTAAGTGGAGTCCAAAAATCAACCATCTAGCATACGCGGATGATACTATAATTTTCACATCTTCTGATGCCACATCTTTGCGATTGGTAATGGAAATTCTATATCTTTATGAGGTATCTGGACAGTTAGTAAATAACAGCAAATCAGCTATTTATATGCATCACTTGACAGATTTGGAGATAGTAAGAAAAGTGAAGAGGATAACTGGTATTGGAAGGCAAGATTTTCCATTTACATACCTTGGATGTCCCATTTTTTATGCTAGAAGAAAGCTGGAATATTATCAAGGTATCATCAATAAAGTACTTGAGAAGCTGCAAACATGGAAAGGTAAATTACTGTCAATAGGAGGCAGAGCAGTATTGATATCAAATGTGCTTCAAAGTATGCCAATACACCTACTTTCAGCAGTAAATCCTCCCAAGTATGTGATAACTAGATTACATAAGATATTTGCTCAATTCTTCTGGAGTAGTGCAGTTGGAGGTACTAGCTGACATTGGGCATCATGGAATACATTATGTATGCCATGTGAGGAAGGAGGAATAGGAGTTCGATCATTACATGATGTATCAAAGGTACTATTTTGTAAGTTATGGTGGAAGTTTCGAACAAGGCCTAGTTTGTGGAGTTCTTTCATGGCCCAGAAATACTGTAAAAAATTAAATGCAGTAATAGTTCCCATGGAGGAGAGGATCACATATTTGGAGGAAGATGTTGGAATGCAGGGGCATAATTGAGCATCTGTGACGACCCGACCCGTCGTCTCATGTGTTACTGCTCCGTTTTCCCCGTTTATTGCTTCTTCACGTTTCGTTATCGGTATGTGGTGTGTGAGAGTTGATTTGGATTGGTTTTGATAAGAAATGAGACACTTAGTCTCTTTAAGGAAGGCTTAAGTTGGAAAAGTCAACTGGACGTGACTTATGAGTTAGAAGGTTTGGATGTGATTTCCGGTGATTCGGTTAGCTTCGGGGGATGATTTGTGACTTAGGAGCGTGGTCGGAATTGATTTTGGAGGTCCGGTGTAGATTAGGCTTGAATTGGCGAAGTTAGTATTTTGGCGAACTCCGATTGATAGGTGAGATTTTGATCCGAGGGTCGGAATGGAATTCCGAGAGTTGTGTAGCTTCGTTAGGTGATTTTGGATATGTGTGCAAATTTTCAGGTCATTCGGACGTCGTTTGATCGGTTTTTGATCGAAGTGCATTTCGGAAGTTTTGAAGAACTTAGGCTTGAATCCGATGTGATTTGATGGTTTTAGCGTTGTTTGATGTGTTTTGATGATTGGAACAAGTTTGAATGATGTTATGGGATATGTCCGTGCTTTTGGTTGAGGTCCCGGGGGCCTCGGGTGAGTTTCGGGGTGGTTTCGGATCATTTTGGAGAAATTTGATATTGCTGGTTCTGGTGTAACACTGTAGCATCGCAAATGCGAAGGTTATTCTGGGAATTGCGAAAACACTGTAGCTTCGCAAATGCGAAGGTTTTGCTGGGAATTGCGAAAACACTGTAGCTTGGCAAATGCGAAGGTTTCGCTGGGAATTGCGAAAACACTGTAGCTTCGCAAATGCGAAGGTTTTGCTGGGAATTGCGAAAACACTGTAGCTGGGCAGAAGGGTTTATAATATTTCATCCGCGAAGGTTATGTATTTTACACCATTTTGAGCGAGCTTTGAGAGCTTTGAGGCGATTTTGAAGAGGGATTCAAGGAGGAATGATTAGAGGTAAGTTCCTTGGCCTAAATACTCGAGATTTTGTTAAATTTAACATGGAAATTGGTTGGAATTCATTAAAAGGGGTAAAGCTAGGGCTCGAGTTTTTGATATTTCAAATTGGGATTTGATAGGTCATTTGAGCTCGGATT